TCCCTTGCCCCGCCTTGACCCAGCAGAGGACAATGAAATACAAACCATGGACATATTGAACCCCTTTTTCTCGTCTCCCACTTAATAAAATTGACGAATATCGCTAATGTATCCTTCATAAAATACCACAGACCTGTTATGTCTGTCGTTATTTGCGTTTTATCGAAATATCGGATCTAATGAAGTTAGTTTTGATCGGCGCTGTAGCACTTTATCGAGTTTCAACCGCAACGAAATACAGTACGAACAGTAAAAGAATGCTGTAAAACACACACTCGACATAACTCTACATAAATCAGTTATTCTTCATTTCAAAAGTTAATTACTTCCGATCGAGAAATAAGGTTACCGCCAAGAAAAAAAGATAAAAAAAATCGTCGGCGATAATTAGGTTAGAGTCTATAACAATTGGACAAAACCTGGTCCTTCGTGTTCAAGTTAATGCCACGCTGTGATGTCTGTACGTGAAACAATAAATGTCTGAACATGTTCTATTTTAGATACAGGCTGATCTAGTGAGGAATCTGCGCACTCTTCCTTGTACTCGCGGGTATTGTATTGAAAAAAAAAAAATCACCAACCCCTTGTGGCCCTTGAGCAACTAAGGTATAGCAGGGAGGGTCCTGCGCCCGCTAAGAACGGAACGAAATCATATCCCCACCGGAATGGGAGTCTAGAATATTTTCGGAAAATTTTTTTGAGGTTACATAAAAAATAATCGTATTGACCAGAAAGTTACCAAAAGCAAATAATATCATGTACCGAAACGGATGAGGTCACTTCTTACGATGTGAATCCCGGAGAATAATATGAGAATTAGGACTATAGTAACGTCTGAGCTTGTGAAAAAATCCTTTAGTGTAATCATTTGAAATGAAACCTCATTATAATACTTTTATGAATTTTACATGGTACAGTATATATTTAACTATTTTATAAAATGAGATTTGGGATTTTAATTTTCGGAATTGTGAAACTGGACACTCTTGGGAGTGAAGGGGAAAAAGGCATTTCTTAGTCGCCCCCTCTATTGTGGCGTTTCCTCTCTATAGGAGAGCAGTAAGTGTCTCCAAACAAAATTTATGCTAATTTAGTATAATTTATTGTAGAACGGAACAAAGTAGGTCGATCTATAACATGATGCGCCCCTGTGTTCAGAGACATGGGACTTCTAATGTAAACCAAACGTGAAGCCATCGTAAGTTTACTGAAGTCGTCTAGATGATAATATCTACTATAATTTGAATGCAGTATTGCACAGAAAACGTTTTACTTTCAAAACATGCTAACGTCATCCTTGCACTGTCATTCGCAAACTCTCGTTTCGACCGATTTATGTCAGTTAATTTATGAATGTTTCTCCATCATTCAGGCATGAAAACTTATTAATCCTGTTAGAAACAACAGCACATGGGGGTTTCAGATATTTTTGACTTCTTTAGCTCATCTTGGAGATAAAACGACCTAACAAAAGACACAATTGCGTTGGCGTGTCGTACGTGAAAATATTCCCTTTGTGGTTGGATCAAAGGATTCGGGGTCCACTGAACTTGAAAGAAGTCAGGGACTCGTTGGCACTTGTCTCCGTTAAGAATCTCTTCAAAACCCGCTGATGCTTAGTTGAAATTGAATATGGGTGTCGCGGTGCACAGGACACCCAAGGTTCGCAAGTACAATGCACCTGTTATCTATAAACTAATGACACAAGAACGAGTGGAGACTGTACATCGTAAACGTACTAAATATATAATAGCATTCTCTTTTGGGTTCGACTTAGGCAGACTAGGCCAAAACCAATTATGAAAAAAGCGGTTCATCTCCAACTTTTGAGGCGCTGGACAAAATCCTACGGTGGTCTACTGTGATCATTCAAAAGCAACCTTTTTGGAAGCTTGGCTGATTTTTCTGGTTTTCCTTGTTTTTACCCAGAAATCTTTGGATTTTCCTCAATTTTCCTCTTTACCAATTTTGCCGAGAATTAAGATGTCGAAACGGCAAGCAATGGATATTCAGCATTCACTTTTGACTTTGCTTTTGCTTGTGGTCATGTCAAATATCAGTAAAGAAATCAATATACTGTTGATCTTAGACCGGCGCACGACAGCGACGGCTACGGAAACGTCACTTAAAAACTGAATTCACGCTGCTTCAGACTTTATCGTGCTTATTCCATCTCGTTTAATTCGTCAAATGTTGATAAATTTCTTTGGAGTTGAATTCTAAGGATTGTATCAAAGTTCGGGAAAAAGAAAGGAAAATAGTTGTTTTGTGTTCCCGTCCTCACATGACAAAATGTGAAATTAGTTGTAGTCGTGCAACGACGACTAAGAAATGTACAAAAAAGTGTGATACATGTGCAAAATTGTTATTTTTCTAATCTAAACATGCCTCAACCTAGTTCTTTTTTGCCGATCTCGTTGCGGTCGCCGTCGTCGCTCCCTTAACACGTGTCGTGAAAAAAGGTTGGAGGTAGCAGGCACCTCAGCCTTGAGAGTGATCAGCTTCAAATTTCTCCTAGCTACTGTATGTCAATACTTCATAAAACAGAGCGGTCAGGAGAATTTAGGACACGATCACACAGGATAAATTTGCTTGAAACAGTTTTAACAACTTGTTCCTACTACTTCTAAATGTAGGAAATGAAGAGGGACAATGTATAATTTGATATTAGGTTTTGAAGGGTAATAAAAACCGCCATCAGTCGCTTTGAACGGGAGGTAGGAGGAAATTACATTTTTATTTTACCATCCGATCGGTTCCGGCTTTAACTGTGAAAATTATATGTTAACTTAACAGGTGCCCGGACTCTCCTTAATCCAATATTATTTAAAGGCTTGATTTACAAATCTCCACGCACGCGCATGCTTAATTTCCTGTTGACGATGCCCGACGAGTAAAAAAATTACTTGTTTCTCGTGATTGCGGGATCAAAACTTAGAAAAGCTGCATAACACCATTTATAAGGAGAGTAAAACAGATATACTAAAAACGTACCGGTACATCATCTATTTTAGTTATTTATTTATGTATTTTTCTATTATTCTTGCTTATTAATTTCTTCATGCCGCATGTGACTGCAGCGAGCGCGCGATATCGCGCGCGCAGATCTCCGCGTTCTCTTTCCCTTCTGTCATTGTGTAGCGAGCGAGAGGCGACGTACTTGAAAGTTTCCAAATGCCTTTTAACTCTCATTTTAACATAAATGTGTTTGACAATACACCATGGCTGATGAACTTTCCAGGGATGTCTGCCCGAATGCAAACAAACGAGCGACATGTCTGATATGTTTCGCCGCCTTACCTCATTAGCCCTAGTAAATCTCGTCAAAAGTGTATTACCTATGCTGAAGCAGCTTCTGCTTGTTGTGAAAACATCACATTAAGCAGGAATCAACGTTAGAGTTAAGACTCAAATTGTACATCCTTCTAAGATTAATTTATGCCACGAGGCAAAATCCCCACAAAATTCGACCCTGGTCGCATCTTTTCGGGACTGAACAAACCGGTGATAGCCAATTTTTCAACTCCCTGGACGAGCCATGCATTCGTTATTTATTCTTAAAGTCGAAACTTACCTTAAAATTCGATGAAGCTAGAAAGAAGTAAATTCTGCTATACTTTCCGAAGACAAATTTCCTCTTTGCCGAATGTAAAATAAAAACAAAAGAAAACACTCAGACACTCATAATTTTGGACGAACGCAGATTAAGAGGGCAGACGGGTTTCCGTTTCCGGGATTCCGTCAAGTCGAACGCAAGCCAAAGCGGGGTATACACGAGTGTAAACATTTATATATATCACATAACGTTAACAGAAAGCAGGTTCTTGTTCATGACCAAAAAAAGAAAAAACAGACTAATGAAACTGACCAGAATGTTCTAGGCACGTGCGATGTGTTACCTTTGGTGAATTGCGTGGGTGGGTTTGAGGATAAGAAGGCTCTCTGAAATTTATTTTGAAAGATACGGATTTTCCTTAGTAACGTTAAAAGATTTGAGACCAATGCCAAACCGCATTTTGTAAAATTCTGCAAACGGAAATAACGCTATGCTCCACTTCTGCCGACGAGGCTTTGTTTGGACACAGGTACCCCAAGTCAATGTTTCGTAACATAAATATTATAATGATTTGTATAGAGATTTTAGCGATCGTTGTTTAAGGGTCAAAAAACCAATAAAAAATACATCAGGACTTCTTACCTTATCGCCTTGTCTAAAATCCCCATACAAACCCTTCTAATATTTATGCTACGCAAGACTTGGGGTACCTGTGGTTTGGATGGTCACGTTACGTTAGCTGTTTACGGACTGAGTGGGTTCATAAAACGATTCATTGTTATTTTAACTGTACAAAGCAGCATGACCCCTAACTTGATCTAATTACTCTCTCCTAAATTACTTTCAAATCCTTTAAGTGCATAACCCCAACAAAACTTTTTGAAATGCTCAATACGAGTATAATTCAAATATCATTCTCGGGTCGGGTGTGGTAAGGTAGCGAATGCAGCGGCAAACGACGTCAAGTTCGACCAATTCCCACGAACTTTGTCCTTTACACCTATCTCCACATGATCCCCTCTATCCCACCTTGGGATATAACTGTGTACCATTGAACAACCTACCGCCAAATTAAAGCATACATGACATTGTATATATATATGAAGGGGAGGGGAAGGGAGACTAGATATGGAAAAGAGGCTTGATGGCGAGATCAGCACGGACTACAGGGCTGCTTTTTTCTTCAAGTGCACGTTCCTGTAGCTAGTGTTAGGGTGGTTTACATTTGAATCTCGTAATCAAGCAATTGCTTTCGCTTTGCTTTATATTTTACAGTGTGATTGGCTGAAAAATTCGCGCCATTTTTTTTTAAACCAATCAGGAGTAAAACCCATCATGACTTGCTACAAAGTTGTTCCCGCGTCAAATTCTAGATCTGATTGGTTCACTGGTTGTATTTATCTGCGTTGTGATAGGCTCCTGGCCGAGGCAGAGATGTTAAGAAATGAAACTTTGCACTTCTAATAATTCTACTCTACAAGTAAATATAAAACAGGAAGATATAGTGGGAAGTACTTCAGACTACAGAGGAACAGCGTGCAGGTGAAGGCCAAGATATGAAAGGAAAATACTTCTTCTAGCTCTCCTTACTCTAGCTCGCTCCAAAAGTCAAAGTAGGCATTTGTGGTGATAAGACACGTAGCTAAATGAATTGACCGCGAAAAAAGCTTGACCTATGAAGTAGGCTGACGTTACAGTGATTGTGGACAACTCAAGTTGCTGTAGCTGTTACTAATGAGGACATGTAATAACGTTCCTATTAGAGCTTGTGCAAGAGCTAGCTACGCGTTGTGTGGACCGTTCAATTTGAATATTTTTAGTAGTATTTCTATTAAGAAGAATTTGTTTTCACTAAGCTTATTTTAATGAGTTAAGTTTTACGTTTTCTCGAATTCTAATTTTTAACATTGCTTGCTATAGCTATGGGGATACGCTTTAGCTTGGTTTAACGCTAAAGCCATTCTTGAAGAAGTTGCCTGATTACAAATTAAGGCGCATTCTAATTTTAGGTTTGAATTAAAAGCAACAAGAGGAAGACTATTATCTATTCTAATATTTATCTGCACATATTCACGTCCTATGTCCATTTGCCTGAAATCCTCTTTCAAGTCATGTCAACAGAATAATATACCCAAGGTTTTTAACCCAACAAAGATTTTCTTTTCACATTTTGTGCATTATGTTATTAACGTTAAGGCGGAAAAGCTTGAGAGGTTTTATGTGGAAGTAATGTTTCCATTTGGCTCGCGTTCACCTTTATCTCAGTTCCAAACAAAGCTTCGTCTCTGGTTTCGACGGGAAAATTTCATGAACTTCCATAACATCAAAAAAGTCAAGCTCAAAAGAAATGTTGAAAAAAAGACATAATAAAAAGGTTTAAATAATACGTTAAGTTACACGAGAGGTTCAGCACGGTGACTTTAATCTGCGAAAGTCCTTATCCATGCCAAGTTTAACGCTTTAAACCCTAAGATCGAAATTAAAATTCTCCTTTGCCGCCCCTATTCATTTCTGATTTACTATAGGAGTAGTGGGGAGAAGTTGATAAAATATCAAGCAAATTCATCTTGTGTGATCATGTCCGTAATTCTCATAACCACTCTGTTTTACAAAGCATTCCTATTACAAGGAGAAATTTGATGCTGATAACTCTTAGGGTTTAAAGGGTTAAGGATGGATTGACTCCTTACAGTCGACTGTTTCATCAAGCGATTGCTGATGACGGTGAAGACAATGATGATGATTGTAGTTCTGATAATGATGATGATTATGATGATGATGATGATGGTAATGACGACAACGATAATGATGGTGATGAAGATGGTGATAATGATGACAACAATGATGATGATACTTGTGATGATGGTAGTGATGATGGTGGTGGTGGTGTTAGTGGCGATGATGATGATCATGATGATGACAATGATAATGATGATAATTGTGATGATGGTAGTGATGATGGTGGTGGTAGTGTTGGTGACCATGATGATGATGATGATGATGAAAATGATAATGCTGATGGTAATGATGATAACAGTGATGATGATGATAATTATGATGATGGTGGTGGTGGTGTTGGTGACGATGATGACAGTGATAATGATGATAATGATGGCGACGACTTTGCTTCGTTTTATTGACACGCGCAAAAAAAGTGGAAAGAAGATAATGGCACACCCATTTAGTGATTACACTGAGTGATCAACTGACAGTATAAAGTCGCAATTTGCCGTGTTTATATCTACCCAGTTTTCAAAAACCTCGTAATAAGGTTATCTGGAGACTTAATTTATATTTTTCACAACACCAAACAAATTAGACGTTCACAAGTCGAGTTTTTGCAGCAACGAAAGTCGAGTGACCAAAACGACCTTTTAGAAAACCTAGAAACAAATCTGGGGATCGTTTTTTAAGTTTGTAGTCAAGTCATTCGAGAATCTGCCTTCATTCTTGCGGTGTTAATCTGCATGTGCCACAAAGTTTTACGTGTTTATATTTCGCAATATCTTATACTCCATCTGATCCACAAGATCTGCCACTCCCCTACAAAACGATTCTGTTAATTATAATAGGATTGCCAGATTTCAAATGACTTCTTAAAGCTCTGTTGGACGGTTCTAGTAACTATCCTTACAAGCCGCGCTTCCCTACAAGCCGCGCAACTTTATCGATCTTGGTTTTGCGATCTAAAACTTCCTTTAACTTCATTGTTTAATGTTTGCTCTTTTTTATGGATTTCTCCAAATTTGTGGTGGTCAACGCTAAAGGGTATACTTCTAAGGCCACCATA